AATTATTTTTTAAAAAGATCTTCCTAAGTTATACCTGGGAGTGAAATTGCTAGGTCATAGGCTCTGAATGTCTTTGAATTTACTGGCTAGTGCCAAGTGGTTTTCCAGGATGGTTGTGCTAATTACATTCCGTTGTTCCACATCTTTACCAGTACTTCACATTATCAGATTAAACATCTTTATCAGGCTTAGGGGTATGAAGGAGTATCTCATTGTGGGGTTTTTTGTTTTTTTTTTTGAGACAGGGTCTCGTTCTGTCACCTGGGCTGGAGTAGTGCAGTGGCACAATCTCAGCTCACTGCAACCCCCGCCCCCCGGGTTCAAGTGATTCTACTGCCTCAACCTCCCCAGTAGCCAGGATTATAGGCGTGTGCCACCACGCCTGGCTAATTTTTTATATTTTTAGTAGAAACGGATTTTCACCGTGTTGGCCAGGCTGGTCTCAAACTCCTGACCTCAAGGGATCTTCCCACCTCAGCCTCCCAAAGTGCTGGAATTACAGATGCGAGCCACCATGCCTGGTCTCACTGTGGTTTTAGTTTGCGTTTCTTTGATTATAGTGAAGCAGAACATATTTTCAAATGTTTCATCAGTAAGGCTACTCTTTTATGAATTGCTTGCTATATTCTTAGCCATTTTTAAAACAGTTCTTTGACACTTTTAAATTAATTTATGTATTAATATATTCTGGAAATTAATCCTTTGTCAACTAGATACATTGCAGTTACCTACATACTTTTGAAAGATGCTCAACTAAAATATAAAATTGAGTTATATTTTATTTAAGTTACACAGAATACACTAGGTAAGAAGGCAGAGAAAACATTGCACAACAAGTGTGTAGGGGCTGGAGGGCTGGCATTGTTTGCAGATCTCTTCTCTCTTGGCTCAGTCTAATAATATGGGGCAACTTGAACTTGCATTCTTATCTCTGGCCCCTCTGAAAAAGGTTATTTTTAGGAAGGCTGTCTGTCCCCAGTGTATTTCATTCAGAAATTTGCTGAAGAATGTATTCTTCCCTCTTGCTGTAACGAAACTCTTGCACTGCTAAATACTGGCCAGTACTTGGATTGAGTAACGGGCTTTGAGTGGTATTGCAGTGCCTGTAGAGCAAGAGGGTAATTCAGTAGGCACGGTATCGTGGTTCATCCTCTAATACTAATTAAACTTCTTTTGGAGATGGTGAAAAAAGATTAAACCACTTAGACTTGACTTCTGAAAGAGAAC